CTTACAACAGTTCATTTAGTGACCATTCAAAGTTACAACGGCATTGAAAAAAGCGACCTATGACCATTTTTCATAGTTACAACCTTTGCAGTATCCATATGATCATGTGATCAAAATTCAGATGCTTGGCAACTGGTTCATACTTACGACGTTTGCAGCATCCCAGAGTCACGCGATCGCCTTTTGTGACCTTCGGACAAGCAAAGTCAATGGGGAAGCGAGATTCACTTAACAACCATGTGACTAACAACTGCAGTGATTTGCTTAACAACTGTGTGGCAAGAAGGATCAAAATGGAGCAAAACTCACTTAACAAATTTCTCGCTTAGCAACATAAATTTTGGGTACAATTGTGGTCGTAAGTCGAGAACTACCTGTTTAAAACATCTGGTTGAATATTCTCTCTCAGAGGTGAGGAAGGCCCCTGGCCTTCTGGCCTTCTGAAACACATAGCCTTGGGTAGGAAGCCCAAAGGATTCTTGCCTACCTAAAGTTTAAATTTTAACTCTTAAATTTTAATCTTTTATATAATGTTTTTATATTCCCATGTTTTATTCAGTGTTTTACTATATATCACCCAGAATCCCTCCTTTAGGAACATGAAAGGGTATAGCAGTGTGAAATATTAAACAAACAAACTTGAAGGTGGGAGAAAAGAAAGCTTGGGGGAATTTTGTCTGCCCTTGTACTTCAGCTCTGCAACTATTTAAATCTTCCTTCCTTCCTTCCTTCCTTCCTTCCTTCCTTCCTCCCTCCCTCCCTCCCTCCCTCCCTCCCTCCGCTGGTCTTATTTTGAGGTAACTGTACGTTTAAGTTGGTTTTCTATGGCCTCCAACAATTTTTTTAACTTTCTGCCCTTGATGTTTACACTTTGTCCATACCCTCAGGAAATATTTAACAGTCAGATCTTCATTGCACACAATATCGTACCATTTTCACATGTTGTTGGTGTACACCTAAGCATGTTTATTACCAAAGCTGAATAGGTTGTGAAAGACTGTCATAAATATTCTGAAGCTGAATGCTCTAGAATTTGAGTCTTGTAAATTCCTAAAGAAAAACTTGCCTACAAATAAATACTGCTATAATTGATAGTAGAGAAAAGGTAAAGTGCATAGGTAGTCCTTGACTTGTGACCAAAATTGAGCCTGACATTTTGATCATAAGTCATTTTAGATCTAAGTGGGGTTGCCCCACAGTATACTCAATTTTATGACAATTAAGTGATTCATATGGTCATAAATCCTAATCCAATTTATCAAACGAGCTTTTTTGCTAGAAAATGGCAAAAAAAGTCACAAATTACAATCGCATGACCCCAGATTACTGCAGTTAGTCATAAATGTGAGCTGGTTGCCAACACTAAAAATGCAATTATGTGACCCTATGGCTAATGAAGCAGTCATAACTTCAGGAATGGCTTATAAGTATTTTTTCTTTTTTTTGAGTTCATCATACCTTTGAACAGTGGCTAAGCAACTGGTTGTGAGGCAAGGTTATCCTGCATGAAAAAAGAAACAACTAAGTACAGGTAGTTCTCGACTTACAACAGCTCATTTAGTGACCATTCAAAGTTACAACAGCACTGAAAAAGTGACTTATGACCTCTTTTCATACTTACGACTGTTGCGGCATCCCCATGGTCACCTGATCAGAATTCAGATGCTTGGCAACTCAGTCGTATTGATGATGGTTGCAGTGTCCTGAGGTCATGTGATCGTGTTTTTCCACCTTCCAGCAAGTCAATGAGGAAGCCAGGTTTATTTCACAACCATGTAACTAACTTAACAACTGCAGTGATTCACTTAACAACTGTGGCAAGAAAGGTTGTAAAATTGGGCCTCATTCACTTAACAACTATCTGGCTTAGCAACAGAAATTTTGGGCACAACTTGTAGTCAAAAGTTGAGGATTACCTGTAAGTAAAAATTGTGGGAATTGTTACAACTGGTACAAATGTACTTAAGGATCTTTATCCTTTATTTTTATATATAGTAAAAGATAATTTCATGACATATACATAAGCTTAACTTTTTCTTTTTGCAGTGATTAATTATAGGAGGGGAAAAACTAGCAATGGGGAAAATTTTTCCTGAACTGATGTGCTGAGAGGGAGAATTTGACTGCAGTTGTGCTTGAAGAAGCAAGGCATAATTGTGTACCGCTGTGCCAATGACCAATCAAGTTCTATATTGCTGTTTAATTAAGGGAGGCTGGGCTGGCATTTAATATTTTTATATAGTGGTGAGATTCATAGTTGAGCAAGCTTGTGTTACAGATATAGATGTAACCAGAATTGTGCATTTTTGTATTTTCCCCCCTATTTTTGATGTAGGATGAATGTAGGGATTTTAGTTGTAAAATAATAATAAAAAGCTGTAAGTTAAGTTATTATTGCTAATGGATTATAAATTATTTTTTCTAAATTTTGTGAAACCATGTGTGAAGGGGATCTGGGGAGGACATAAAATAGATTTGAGAGCTGAATGCCTATCCCTGAATTAACCCAAGACTCTGATGCCTAGTTTGCCTTTAGAATAATATATTGTTCATTTCAAACTTCAGTTGTAATTTAACAAGTCTATAGGAACACTTGCACCTTTTTCTTTGCCAAGTATTTACTTTTACAGTACTAAACATGCTATACAGTTAAGTGTTTCTATCAGGATGAAGTTGGCTATCTAAGGGAAGGACATTTTCTACCCAATGAAAGTAGAATTTATTGAAGAGAATTTAAGCAGATCTAGAGCCAGCACTTTATTGGATTAGCCTCTTTGTTTTAAGAATCTTTGCTGTGTTTCTAGAGAAGAAAAGCTTATCTGAGACAGTTTTTAAAAAGGAATTTATCTAGTATAAATCCCTTAGGTTATTTGAGGGACCATTTCTTGCCGGTCACATCCACCTTACCCACTAGAGCGGGGAAGCAAGGAATGTTGCAGGTTCTGTCCCATAAGGAGGTACATCTGGCAGGACCCAGAAGAAGGGCCTTCTCCATAGTGGCTCCCTCCTCCTGGAACATCATCCTTCTAGAAATTAGACTGACCCCAGCACTGTTTCAGATAGCTCTGAAGTTTTGCCAGTGGGGGTGGGGAAGCCAGAATGGGATGGAGCCCGTTAAATGGTTGATTTGAGTGTGTGTTGTCACTGAGGGGAGGGTGGGTTTTTTATTTTATTATTATTTTTGTTATTTTACTTTCTATTATTTTAATTTTTCTACGTTGTTTTATTATCTGTAAGCCACCTAGAGTCACTATGTGCGAATAGGCAGCTATATAAAATATCAAAATAAAATAAAAATTTAACTTATTGTAATAATCACTAGTATTTTGATCTACAGTCTTTGTAAAGACTGAAGAAAGCTGGGAAGTACAGAAATCATTGAACAGGCTGCACATGGGTACAACAAGACCCAGAAACACTCTGAATGAATGGGACTCTCTGGTAGCTTTTGCCCTGTATGATTGTGGTGACATGCAGACAACAACACATATGTTCTTTCTGTCCTGATCAGTGTAAATTTGAGGACCTCATGGCAATGCAACAGAATGCAATTAATGTTGCTAGTTTCTGGGCGACATCTGTTTAACTTGCACATATTTTAATCTTTATTTTATATTTTAAGTTTTATATCATACAGTATGCCTTATATTAATTGTGATGCTTCTGACATGAATAAACAAATATTGACAGTCTTTGGGTTAGACCGAAGTTTAGTCATATTTAGAAAAAGAAATGGATTTTGGGTTGATCATGATCCACTAACTTCTCTTTTATTTGTGCTCACTCTCATCCTGATTCTGGAATATAAATTGCATGTTTGACAAGATGAAAATTCTGTAGAAATATAAAACCTTCCAATTGTACTCATTATTATTATGCTTGATTATGTATTATGTATTTGAAGTAAGATGCAGTATTATCCATATATTGTAAGGTGAGGTTAATGGATAGAAACTGTGGTTGAAACAAGCTTCTTATAAGCTTAAGATGTGAATCAGAAATTTCAGCCCATGATCTTTACTATACTATTTTATATGACAGCTCAGACAATTTTGGAACTGCCTTCTAAGTTCCTGTCTACCACTTATTATTAAAAAGATGTACAGACCTAAAATTTCCATTGTCTAGCTTTGACCCCAGAACTACATTTAAAGTCAAAACAAAACCAGTTTGGGTGACCCAAATCCCCTTTGGCATAGTGACAGTCCTAGCAAGTGGGAGTGGCATTGTCTAAATTGTAAAGGAAATTTCCACTGGTAATGATCCAAAAGCTTGGTATAGTATTACCAACTTCAATCTTACTCATTGATATGTAGTGATTTCACAAGGAATAGATTGCAACATTGCTTTACAGTAAGAGAAGAATTCTGCGCCTTTGACTATTTTCAGCAATTCTTCATTAGATCCAGAGGGGCCTTAATGAAAGGCCTGGGCCTGCTTTTCTCAGTGTTCCTTAAATAATGTGGGATTTTTCCTAACAGGATAGGTTGTACTGTCAGTACTTAGGTGGTTAAGCATGTTGCAGTGTAAAAAATCCTTAAGAGGTAGCTACATTCAGTCTGGATAAAACCTTTTGAACAAAATAAATGGCATAGCTTGTTTTATATAAGTAGGTAGGTAGGTAGATAGATAAATAGATAGATACAGCATTCCTCTTCCTTACTTCCTTTCTTTTTATATGCCCTGATTTCTAGACACTTATTACAAACATGGGTTTCTAAGCCAGTCTTCTTTCTTTTTCCAAAGGATTCTAAATACTGGCATATTAACATCAAAAAAAAAAACCAACGTCTCTTAAGGATGAAGTTAAAATGAAAGAGGAGGTTTTTTTTACAATTAATTAAACAATCTCAGAATAGTGGTGATGGGAAGGGAAGAGGGAGTTTATTTTGATGCAACAGAAGCCAAGTGAGCTTGCATTACGACCAGTCTGTTATATACTGTAGTTTGTATAATATGTTCAAACTTCAATTTGTCTTTGTTGTTTTCACTTTTGACAGGCTGAATTCTGATTCCTGAGGAAACAGAAGCATCTTCCAAGCCAGTTAACGTCAATATCCTCATGCAAATCCTTTTCCTCATCCCCTTCCGTCTAAACTGATGACGTGGACTCCATCGTAGCTCAAGCTTTCCAATTTTAGAAGATGGGCTCATTCCGAAAACCCCGGCCACGTTTCATGAGCTCCCCAGTGCTGAGTGATTTGCCACGATTCCTGGCAGCTCGACAATCTCTGCAGTTCAGATCTAACTCTGCCTGGAACAGGTGAGAAACATCCAGTCAATGTATAGCTAATGTCTTGAGTTTTGGAGTTAGAGGGTAAAAAGTTGCTTCAGATTGTGCAGGGTCTCTCATATGATAGTTCTTTAAAGCAGGAGGTATCTTTCAGGGATGATGTGGTTGTACATTGTAGCTCCAGCATATTCTGGAAAAAGAATATGGAATTTGGCATTTAGGAATTGGAATTGTCCACAGGGATGATGTGTGTACTCAATAAACATTTTCCTCTTGTACCCAGAATATTTCAGAGCCCTTTTATCCTTATAATACTCTTCTTCCCCATTACTGGATTTCTCTGTGTCTTTGAGTTCACAAACTATCTGTGCAATTCAGTGGATATCTCACCAATTGTATGTATCTTGTGGGAGTGGAACATTTTTCTAAGTTGGTGTGCAAAGGAAAAGATATTGGATTAAATGTGGTTTAAAGTTTTCACAAATGCCTCAAAGGAGTGACTGAGTAATCAATCTATTTTTGTGAGATAAGATGTTGTGAGAACTTGACAATATCCTTACAGGGATTTTTTTTCACACTAGAGAGAGTTCTGTGTAGGTGTGTCTACGTGATTTTAAAGATTTTAAAGTTACAAAAAATGTATTGGAGTATGTATTGAAGATGATTTGATGGCTACAGTTCATTCTACTTTTATTGGTTGATTAACTTGTCAAATTATGGTTTAAAATTTTGCAAGAAGAAATAATTCCAAACATAGTTTGTTGATTCAGATGTAATGGTTATCAATGTAGTGGTTAGAGAGGGAAAAAAGCGAGCTCCCTCAAGGACATTTCTCATTGTATCAAACAGTGATTCTATGCTGTACAACATCTACTTATGGAATTACAATTGGGCCCAGAATCTTAGTCATTAAATAAAATGGTCATTAAGCAAGGTATCATTTCATTCAATGACCACAGTCCTAGTTCTTCCAGTTGTGATTGTTAAGCATCTTTGCAGGTTGTTAAATAGAATGCTGGGGAAAGGGCTTGGACCTCCCACTACACTGGGAGAGCCAGGCACTCTCACTACCCCACCATGCCCAGGTCCATTTACTTTTGCATTCTGCAGCTGCTGATTACTGAGGTCACTTGCTCCATCCTGCAAGTGGACCCCATTCTTGTGATGGTTCAGAACAGGAGGTCTCCAACTTGGCAACTTTACGACTTGCGGACTTTAACTCCCAGAATTCCTCAGCCAGCAAACGCTAAGGTTGGAGACTCCTAGTTCAGAAGGCTCCCTCTCCAAATTTCCCAGTTTGGAGAAGGGACCTTCCAAATGATCTTGAGAACAATGGCATTTGCTGGCTTTTTTTTGCCAGATGTGAGATTTGTTCCTCCGGTGAATGCATGGATTTTGCCTCAGTGTATGGAAGGAAGGGTGTACTGGGGGAACGAACCTAAAATCCTCCATCCTCCCCTGCATATCCTTCCCTGCTGGCTTTCCCATTGACTTTCTGGGGAAGCCAACAGAGAAAATTGCAAATGGCAATCACATGACAAGACAATTGACATGTTTGTAAATGCAAACATATTACCAAAAGCCTGAAATGCAATCATATGACTGCATGGGAAGGGGGACAGCATGACCATTTGCCAAGCTATCATAAATGTACCTATTAAACTACTGTAAGTTGAGGACTACCTCTATGTGAATTATCATGAGATCAGTGACTAGAAGCACAGTCCTATTTAAATGCCTGCAGTTAATGGTGCAGAGAGCATTTAGAAATTGTTGCAGACAGCAGTGATTGATTGTGCTTTCATCTCCCCCTCAACTCCACACCACACAGTCCTAGTGAGAACTGTAATTGGCTTGAAAGTGGATAGTTTGTAGAAATATATTTATAGATAACTGGATTAGTGAAGAAACTAGCAAAAATGTCCTTATTTTCTTGAATTCTGTTACCTCGGTAAACATTTTTTCATTTATTTTTATGGGAGGGAAATCCTGGGTTAATTCAGAGACTGTTCCACAGTGATTTGGCCATGCAGTTCTGCAGAGATAAGTTTTTGCATCTTGTGAAACATACATAACACTCTGTCTCTTTTTTCTTTCTTTTATAAGAATGTATTCTTTTGTGGCATGCAGTGAAGCAAACTGTGTTTTAATTTCTGGCCTTTGTGTATGCTTGGAGAAGTCAGAATACACAATGGCCAAAATTTCCAGAGTTGATTTTAGTTTCCAAAGAAGATGATGCAATACTCATGGCAGTGCTCTGAATAAGAGCTGCATAAGGGCAGAAAGAAACAGCGGTGCATTTAATTTTGGCTAGCACCTGCTTGTATTAGTTTCTTGATATCTGTATAATTATATTTCTCTCCACAGCCGTGGGCAAAGGAGCCTAATGATTCCATGGGGGGTGGAATGCAGAAGTCATTTAAGGGCAGTTAATCTCCTTTTCTACTCACTGATATATTTACACGGTTCTTGACTGCAGTTTCATTGCTTTGTGTAAATCAGGCGATGACATTCATTATTTATGACTGCCCTAACCTTCTCCTTCTGTTTGGCAGTGTTCAAACAGCAGTGATCAATGTGTTCAAAGGAGGAGGCTTGCAAAACAATGAACTCTACATCCTCAATGAAAATGTCAGGTATGTGGATTTAACTGAACTGGATTCAACAGCCTTCACATGTTGGAGCAAAAGTAATTCTGAAAGCGTTGTACTGTGGCAGTAGCTTGTGCATTGGACTCTTCTTTTATTGGCACAGTAAAGGAGACTGAACTATGAACTCTTTTTATGATGCTAAAGCAGTGCAGAAATTCACAAGAGTAAAAAAAGATAATATATCAATGGGAAGCAGGAGAATAGGTTTAGGTCCTTATTCTTCTTGTTACCAGGTGATTTCTCATAGTAGCAGTGGCAGTAATGGATGGTAGAAATCAGAATTTTGCCCAGTTCCTCCTCCAGCAAATTCTTTACATGCTACAATCATAGTTAAGAAGTGGCTATCAAAAAGGGTATTTTTTCAGCTTCCCTCTGTCATCATAATATTAAAGGAACTCAGGACTGGGAAACTTATCACCCGTAAGAATGGCTTATTGGTGGTTGGCTGGGCTGCTGCTGTGGTAGATACATGTGCTTTGTATTCTTAGCAGACAGAGCCATGATGCTATGTGATGGAGCCATTTGCATGTAAGCGGGACTGAGATGGTTTTCTCTTGAATTTCTGCAAGGAGTTTGAGGGGTTTTCTTTCCCTGTCACTATATAATATATGTGGGGTGAGAAATGAGTAAGTTGCACTTTCTGGGGCAAAGATTTAATTGAGGGTGAGAAAGGTTCTGTTTGATTTTCTCTGAGTTGGTTGAGTTGAGTGAGGTGCTGCATGAATGCTGCTTGTTTTGTAAGGTTATGCTCTAAATAAGTGGCATAATAGAAAAGAACTTGCCTTGAACAGGGTTTCTCCCAGATAGGTCTATGCCTCTGCTTTTTCTTAAAAAAAAAAAGTTGTGAGGTGTTACAGATGCATCTGCTTTGATGGTTGGTGGTTTTGGAAGTGGGATGCAGTAGGTCTGCTCTTCGAAATCTGGATGGAATCATATTTAGGTACTGAATTTGTGTATATGAAAGAGAAGAGGTGAAAAAGCATGTGTGTCAGAGAGATCACTATGCTGTAGGTGTAGAATGTTGCAGATTTCAGTGTTCAATTGGAAATATCTTTGCAAGTCGCAGAAATTTGAATAATAATGAAAACAGGCACAGATCATGCAATGAATTTATTTGAATGGTCTGGTCAGATGTATGAGCACAAAAAAGATTAATATCTTGATGGAGCCTGTTTTGTGTTGTGGTTAAGGCACCAGATTAGAAAACAGGAGACCATGAGTTCTTCATGCCTTAGCAAAGAAGTGTCAAACTTTATTTCATTGAGGGCCACATCAGCATTGTGTTTGAACTTGGGGGGACAGGGGGGCAGAGGCGCATGGGCAGGGTGGGCTTGGCCATCTTGACATTACTCATGTCGGGTGCACGCGGCCCTCCCAGGCTCCATTTTTGCTGGCAGAGGTACCACAGGCTGGTCCTTCGCTGTTTCCAGGATGGCTTTGTGGGCCAGATCTAAGCACATTTTGGGCCGGATTTGGCATGCAGGCCTTGAGTTTGACATCCCTGTCTTAGCACAAAGCCAGCTGGGTGGCCTTGAGCCACTCATTCTCTCTCAGCCCTAAGAAGAAGGTAATGGCAAGCCGTTTTTGAAAACCTTGCCAAGAATACCGCAGGGACTTATCCAAGTAGTCATCAAGAATCAACAATGTCTTTAAGGCACAAAAAAACAAAAACAAAGGCATGGCAATAGGTAAGAGTTTTCTCTAGGAAATGGAAACAAACATTAGTTTGATTATAGCTTGAAATCTGATAAACACATAGAATGATCTCCTTTCCCCCCGACTTTCGTCTTTAAATTCCATGAACTTGTTTAAACATTGTCAAGACCAAGAAAGTTAAAATGTTTTGACAAAAGGTTATTGGTATCCTCCATGCTTCTGATTGTTAAGTACTCAGTGAATTAATTAAGAACAGCTCTGACATTTTCTCCAGTAGCATAGATTTATGTGACTGATTTAAAAACATCTGTTTAAAGCATGCAGTTTTGGCCATAAGATCTTTTGAAAATAAAAATGAAGCCTTCATAAAGTTGTTTTTTTTTTGCTTTTTGTATCATCTCAATAAGATACCCTTTTTCATGCTCTGACAAATGGCTTTGTAAGTTTCTTCTGAAATCAGACCTTTCATTCTTTTTTTTTTTTTTTGTAAATTTTATTTGAGTTTTCACAAAAAGAAAAGAAACACAATTAAAACATCCTTTTTAAAAGCAGCATAATCCCGGGTTACATTTCTTCGTGGAGACACAATTTCAGATTCATGCTCATTTTTATATTCTATTCCATATCTTATTACAATTTTACATTTTCTACATAGCTTCTCCCCTCTTTTAATTTCCTCAATTTTATTATATTTATTTCATCTCAATTCAAATCATTATATTTATATTTTTTGTCTGTCCTGTTTCAATTGTCTATTATCTTTTCTTATTAAACAAAATTTCTCCTGTAGTTACTGATTGGAGTATGACGCCTTTATATCTTTCCCCTAAAGTTATAACACTCAATATAATACCATAGCTTCCATTCAGATTCTGTTTGGTACATTCTTAAACTACACAATATTCTTATAAAAAAGAAAAAATTATAAATGTATATAATTAAAACAACATTCCATTCCAATTCAATTCTATCATTAATATTAAAATTCATTAAAGTCTTAAGATTTTTCACGTGACTTTTCAATTAAATATCATACCTCTATGGGAACAATTATTAGCTTTCCATAATCAATTCCCCCCCTCTTCACTTATATTTTATAAAACATTGACTAATTAAAGTGTTCCCATTCCTTCCTAATTCAATTTTCTCATTTATTTTATTTCATTTACTTTATTCACAGACATTTCTAAGTTACACTAGCCATTGTATCCCTCATTCTAATCGTATGTTGTTTCCAATTTTCTAAAGTTATTTCTATTTCAAATATAACAACACAATCTCATGTACCTTTACAGAATCCCCCTTTCAGTTAAATTTTTACCCATTATCTCTAAATAGGTCCTGTTTCTTTATATCTTGCTCCGGACCTTTGTGACGTCTTTTCCTTTCCTTCTTCCCTCTCTTCTTCTCCCTCCCCTTTTTACCCCTTTGTCTCTCTACCTCTACTTCCCTCTTCTGTATTCCCCTCTTCTGTTGTTTTCCAGTATTATACTTATTTTTTGAATTATTTTTCTTTTCTTTGGTTGTTTTTTTAAATCTTAAGTTCTCCATCCTCTTTCCCCCCTTTCCTTTTTCTTCCCCACATAGAGTTACTTGTTCATTAAAGATGTCTTCTTCTTTGTCCCAGTCTTCTTGTTTTGCAGTCTTTTCTTGTTGTTTCTCATAGTTCCAAATCTCAATTTCTAAGAATTGAAAAATGAAGCCAAAGGAACCCCTCCCTTCTTGTGCCTCTTCTTTGTACTTTTTAAGTTCCATTTTCAATTCATCGAAAAGTGATGCCATTGTAAAAAAATTTAAACAACCACCCGATTGATTTTAGTCATTCAAATATAATAGCCAAAAATCTAAGTCACCAAATAATCCAAATACACACAAACTGTTTCTTTTTGCTCTTTCTTTTTTTCCCCACTTTCTCTTCCTGGGGTTACTATTTAGTTGCAAAGTTTCAGTTAAAATGTATCTTTTAGAAGTCTTATTGAAATTTTACTTTAGATTCTTTTAAAGTCCAGATAGTCTCCTCCCTCTTCCAGATCCTGCCCTTATTCTTTTTCTCTCCCTTCCTGCTTATAGAAGAAAAAGTTTTTAATGTCCAGAAATCTTTATTGTCTCTTTGGCATTTAGTTATATTTTCAGCTTAATTGCCTGTTGATGCCAAAGCGGATTTTTCCAATTTCTTATTCTTAATGTCAATATAAGGAAGGAGAGAGAAGAAAAAAAAAAGCCAAACCTTTCCCTTTTCACTTTCTTTCGCTGCTTCTGACTCTTCTTTGGGAGCGATGTTATTTCTTGTAAAATTTAAATTCCAGGGTACCTTAGTTATTGCTTTTTCAACTTAGCCCGGTCAGCCAAAACTTTCACTTCTTATCTTCCTCCTGCACGTTCTTTTCCGGTTGAGTACTTCTTTGAGGTGGCCATTTCTGACCACCGCTCCTACTGCCTTCGGGAAAGGGAGTTTGACCAGCTGAGGAGGAGAGATGCGGCTCTCCTCGACCCTGCTGGCAGTCTCCCCCTTCTTCACCACCTCTATGGGGTGGCTTAGCCCCCAAACCAGCCGGCTAGGGGCGCTTCAGCAGCGAGCCCAGTCAGAAACCGCGCACGATCGCAGATTCCTGTCTGTTGCCGAAGCCCTTCAAACCGGAAGAGACCTTTCATTCTTATGGATAAAAATCTTACTGCTTTAATGCATACTTTAAATAAGACGCTTGGATAGAAAAGTTGTTGTTAACAGTAGCATATTCATTTTTTTTCTTTGTAAATGCAGTATTTGTTTCTCTAGCTATGCAACTGCCTTCCATGTATATAAGCAATTGCATATAACTAGCTTGCTTGTGTAGAAGAGGCAGAAATTTCTATTGGATCAATCAGCTGTCAACAAAACCACCAATTACACACCTTTTAGCATAACTTCCAGAAGGATAAATGTATTGGCACATCACATCAAATTTGTGTATTTCATTTTGAAGACAAATGAATTTTGTTATGTGGATTAAAGTTCACTTGATGCATTAACTAAATTGGGCTCCAGATCACAAAATCCTACGTTTAATAAAGCTTACTTTGCAAGGATGCCTGATTAGGTTTGTTCAGTGGATTGGTTAATTGCTGGAGTGAGAAAATGAATAGCAAACGTATTGGGCGAATGCCTGGAAGGTTTTGATCATACAGGATTAGGGAAGAAATTGGTGGTTTTAGTTTACATAAGCTTAGAAAGCAAATTTGTTAGTGCAGTGAATGGGATAATTTAAAAAGGAGGAAAGAAATAACATTGTGGAAGAATGGCTGCCCATAATTTGAGAAGCACTATGGGGTGGAAATTGAGGGCAGGAATTCAGAATTCTTACATATCTCATGTATTGAATTAATGTTGGTACTATAAATTACTGGGTGCAGCAAGGAGAAAAGTGATGTCTCAGTCTCAACTTCATGACAAACTGTAATGGGAAGGTTGTGTCATAGTAGTAACATACTACTGCAAAATGATTTCTAAATTATTATTTTGAAGTCGTAAGATGGGGTTTATTTGAATGTTCCATGGGTTCATCCTGTCCTTTATTTTCAGATATTCAAAATCAGTTACACCTCAATTCTGCTTGAAAAGATTCAGATTTAAAAAGCAATATTATAGTGATTTGCTTTGTTGAAATTGGAACTGTGTAATCTTTGTCATTGATCAGAAAATGACGAGGGTTTTCTGAACTGGAATGTTGCTGAAAATGTTTCTCTTCTAGCACGGTGATTGAACCTTGTCTTACAGATTTTTGTAAGGTTTGAAAAGGTCTCTTCATGATTATTAGACATTAAATGTGTGTGGGATGGGACATCAAAGCATTACAAGTTAACCTGACAGGAAAAAGTAGAAATCTTGGTTTTGCTTTGCTTTCCAGCCCACTCAAAAATAATATCTAGGAATGCAGGAGATGATCAAATCAGATCTTACCTTCTTTAGAAATTAAACTTGTTCTTCTTTGGCAGGAGTTAAGTTTGAAGACGAAAGTCTTTTGATCAAATTCTTGCTATAAAGTTTGTCTCATACAAATAAGTATTTCTAATTCATATAGTTATTGGCTACAAAGAATGCATTGTCAGAATATGATTCTAAATGATTCATGCGTGTGGGATAAATCAGATTAAAAACAAATTAAGCTGGCTTTGTAATGTAATGTAATGTAATGTTATACCGACTAACAGTTTGGTGTTCCACTAACTTAGGACTCTTTGTCAACTACCAAATGTGTCATGGGAAAACATGAAAGAAATAAAATTAAACAATACATAATAAGTCTCAAAGTATCTTATTAGTCACTTATGCATTTAGAGTTCAGTAAATATCTATTTTCTATTATTATTTTCTGGAAATATTTTCATGATAAGTGATCCATTTCTTTCCAGGCAGCTGTTGAAGAGCGAGCTTGGATCCTTCATCACAGACTATTTTCAGGTAACATTTAGTTCTTAAGTGGATAGATGAAGCAATGAAATTGGACTATCTTTTGGTTCAGTCTTTATGCTGATTTTCCTTTTTCTTGTCCTTTTTAAGTAGCTGCAAGATCTTAGATTTTGAATAGAAAGCTAGAAACTGTTTTGGCCAACATAGCATAATAGCAAAGGTTAAAACAAAGCTGAACAACCTTATCACAGAACTACAAATTGATAAAGTTAGTATTTCTTTTCTTAAAACGGTAGGATTGTGTTACATAAAAACGTCCCATTTAAGTGGCTAATACTATGAGAATGATGCTTTTTTTAAAAAAAAATTCTTGAACAACTGGAAAGTGGGTTTCGGAAAAAGGGTTACAGCTAGGGAATTTTCTCCGCTTCTGGCCTCAAAACCCCCTCTTTGCCCCCAGTGCATGGGTGTATGTGTTGCTTAAGTTACAATGCTCACAACTCATGTTTCTCTTCTCCACATTCCCTTCATCGTTCTCCTTGCAAAACTTAAAAGTGTGCTTCAATGCCTTATGAACATTTGGGATAAATAATATACTCAAGATCTTTTTAGATAATGGCTGTTAATCCAAGATTACCCGCTTCCCCTAGAGCAGTGGCCCCCAACCTTTTGGGCACCAGGGACCACTTCTATGGAGTGAGTTTTTTCCGTAGACCAAAAGGGGCATGGTTTTGTGTGCTGCCTGCATCCCACGGAGGGCTCTTCGCTTTATTGTGCGGACCGGTTTCTGGCATGCTGCGGAGCGGTGCCAGTCTAGGGAACCAAGGTTGGGGATCTCTGCCCTAAAAGACTCTGAAGCACCCTTGAACATTATAAAATCAAAAATAATAAAGATATTTGATAATAAGGCATCATGAAGATGTTTCCACAATCACAGTCTTTGAAGATATTCCACCTTTCAATAAATATTCAACTGACGGTTTAATATTTCCTTATCGGAAATACTTTATGTGATCTCTTGTACAGTAGGGATAATGCATTTCTCCAAATTGATTAAGATGGTCCACTTCAATGATCACTGAGAAGGGACCATTCTTGACAATAGCTTCCTTTGATGAGTTTTCGTTCCTAGGGATTCATGCTATGATGCTTAGCCCTTCCCCACCTTTTTGAAAAAAGCTACCTAAGCAATGACATAAGATGTACAGTGCAAATACCCATTCTTAGCACTTAAATGTGGAATGCATGTTAACCCACATAGCTGTCAATCCACATAGTTCCAGCATGCACTAAAATATGTTATGTCTTTGAAACACATGAACAGAAATCTCATTTAATAAGCCTGAATAGTCTGTAGAGCAACAATAATTCAAACACTGGAGTTGAGGAAATGCATGAGTCAGAGTGAAATTATTATGTACCTTTTAACTGATAAACAGCCCTCAGAGATCTTAATCTTAACCACAGAAAAAGTTTGGGTCTTGTTGTCTACAAGAATCCAAAAAAATGTGTGCACAAATTCACGGCTATCATTACTGTAGAAAACAGCCTCATTAGTGAAAATGAAACTTTTGAAACCAAATTATGAATAGGATGTTTCTTTCGTCCACCTCTATATTGGGGACCTGTTAGATTTCCCAGAAGTAACCACAAGGATTTCTAAAAAGAAAGACTAACTTATAATTTCTTCTTTATCCTCAATTCAGTGTACGCTATTATAATACATTTCTTGTAACAGCAATAACTTATGCAATATTGGCTCAAAGGTTATGTTTATATAGTTTGTGCAATACACTTACTCACACACACACATACACACACACAATTGACACAAAGTTTTCACACACACACACACACACAATTGACACAAAGTTTTCACACACACACACTGAATTTCACTGTATTTTATTCTTTCTTGTTCCAGAAACAGAAAAAAAACCCTATACAATTCATAACCTTCCTACTTACTACTGCATACTAAGTAATGAAATAAAAATAACTGGAGATCGTAATTCCAAGCAATATCTTATAGTGTGCCATTTTGTAGCACAAATTTAAACCAGCCCTATTCAGGTCAAGTGAATGTCATGATAGCAAATTAATAACTAAATGTTTTAGTAGATTCATTAGTGAGAGCCAACTTTAACTGGCCAGATTAAAGGTTACAAACACTCATTAGTACTTGATTCTAGTGCACCTAATGGCATAAAAACAAAATGTTATTTCCCCAATGACTTGTTGCTGTAATTTAGACTCTGCTTACTTCTAGATTTTTTTTTCAAAAATAAGTCACCTATAACAAATAATAGAATAAACACTGAGCAATAAATCAGCATTGTTGAAAATCATGGCTGATGATGAATGGCACGCTGGTGAATTTCAACTTATTCACTATTCCTCTAGCTTGAATTGTTAAATAAATCTGGAATAATGTATTGGCACATCAATTGGACTAGAGATATTTTGGCTGTTGGTCTCCATATAAGCCATAATTTGTAAATGAAAAAGGAACCATGGTTTATAATACTGGCTTGTAAGCAGTGAGATAAAGCCAACATTTCTGATGCAGGCAATACGCTGAAGGGATTTGTTTGACCTCTTGTATTAATTGGGAGGAATGAAACATAATTAATGAGCCAAGTATATGAGCAGCTCAATTACAGTGAGGATTCTCCAGAATTCTGGTTCATTCTATGTGAAAATGGCCAGTGTTTAGAAATATTAGTTCTTTTTTCAGCATAAAATAATGGAATTTGGCCAATAGAACTAAGATTCAGCCCATTCAGAACATCAACCCTAATATTTTATCTTATCTCTGGGAACAAAAGTACACAACCCAGATCTTACACAAATATAATAGGTCTAATGAAAAGATGGTACTTGACTTCAGTAAGCAGTAAAATTGACTGAAATTGTGGAATGATGTAATAGTAAACCATGATATATGGTTATAAGCATGAATGGATATAAGTTTGAAGCTTTTGCAGATAAGGGGAAAAGAATGTTAGTTTGGAGTTGCAGTCATTATAGTTTACTTAAAATTCCTGGTTCATGGTTTAATTTTGGCTCACAATGACTAAATATAGTTTGCTATTATGTTTGAACTGAACTGCTTATTTGAGGAGCTGATAACTTTGTACAAAAAAAACCCCATATAAAAATAATTTCTCTCACGGACTTCCGGTTTGCAAAGCTTCGGCAGCGGCAGGGATTCGCGACACCGCGCGATCCCTGCTGCGCTCGCTGCCGAGGTGCCTCTGATCCATTTGGATTTGGAGGATATAGCTGCCCCGTAGAGGCAGCTGAAGACAGGGGGGACCCGGACAGGGGTTTGGGGGTGTCGCAGACCCCCTCCCCAGCTGGCAAAACCCCCTTTTCCCAAGGCGGAGGAGCGGCAGTCAGCCTGCAGCTGGACAAGATTGTGCAGGAGGAAGAAAGTGAAAGTTTTTCTCTGGCTGAACCGGGACAAAGAGGAGCCTTTAAAACCTGGAAAATTGCCTTTTTTATTGCTACATTGTTTCCCAGAAAGACTGTGCAAGAGGCGGAAGAAAGTTGTGAAAGGGAAAGTTTTTTTTTCTCACTCTCCTTCCCTACGGAAGTAGCTGATGGAAATTTGGAAAACCTGCTTGGGCAAAGAAGGTAAATGAACCTAAAAATTAAAGCCAAGGGGATAAAAGATTTTGGAACATTGGAATTAAAAATTAAAAGTTTATTGCTATAAGTGGGAAGGAAGAGGTAAAAAAACTTATTCTAAGACTCTATTGAAGAAGACTGCTTGAAGTTTATAAGATTAGAAATTAATGACAATAAGGCTTCTAAAAATAATTTTGAAACTGTCTAATTGAATCTCACCCCAGGAGGAGGGGAAAAAAAAGAAGAAGAAGAAAGTGTTAATGGAACAGTTTTGATTTGGATTGCTTTGTGACTTTGGGATTTTTGGGGAACTATTTCTTGAAAGACTAAAAACATTTGGGTTGCTCTTTTAAAAATAAAAAAAAAATAAAAAATGGCATTATCTGTGCAAGAATTACAAATGGAATTTCAAAAGCTACAAGAAGAGAAACAAGAAGGCAAGGGCTCCTTTGAATCTATCTTTCGTTTTTTGGAAATGGCGATTTCCACTTACCAAAAAATACAAGAACAAGAGGACTGGGATGAAGAAGGAGAAGCCATCTTTAATGGACAAAAAGTTATAGCTGAAAAGAACAAGGGGGGAAAGAAAATGGAGAATTCAGAACTTAAAAAAGCAACCAAGAAAGGAAAAATCGATACAATGCCAGAAAGCAACAGAAAAGAGAAACACAACAGAGAGGGAAGATCAAAAAAGTGGAATTTGAGAGATGGGGGCCAAAAGACCAGAATTGATAAGAAAGGAAGGGAAAAAGGAAAGAGAAGCCATAAAGGTTTAAAACAAGATGCTAAAAAAAGGGTTTTTTTCAGAGATAAAGGGTAAAATTTAAAATAAAAAATATATATGATTCTGCAAAAGTACATAAGATTGTATTGTAGATATTAGTGTTTGAAACTGAGTTAGAAAACTGAAATACTATGAGTTAATAATGTATTAAAGGGAATATATAAAATGTTTAAGAGTAAATAATAGAGTTTAATTTTCTATGGAATATTGTTTTGATCATACTATAAACTCAATCCCTTTTTTATTTTTGTTTTATTATTTTAAAATGTAGTACTTTGTGCTAAGCAGAATCAGTATGGAAAGTATGTATCATTTCAAGTGTCAAATCTAGGGGAAAGATAAAAAGTTGTCATACTTCAACCAGTGATTACAGGAGAAATATTGTATTAGAAAGAAAAGATAAATAGATAATTGAAGAGAACAGACAAAAGATACAAGTATAATTATTTAAAATGAGATGAAATAAATATAATAGAATTATGAGAGTGAGAGGAGAGAAAATATATAGAAAATACAGAATGTTAATTAAGATATGAAATAGTATATTAAGTATGAATTTGAGTTATGTCTGTATAAAAAGAGGTAACTCGGGGTAAGCCGCTTTCCAAAAAGAAGTTTTAGGTATTTATGTTTT